CTTAAAATTATCAGTGCATTAAAAGCCTGCTCTCCCCTTATTCGGGGCAAGTCAGCATGAATAATGTGCCTTCGTCAAAAACATGACTCCCAAAAACACCCTCCCTCCCCGATCCTATTGTGTTTAGCATTGCTTGTTTAATTATTTGGGGGGGCGGAGGGAAACAAGGAGGGAGAGGGAGCATTTACCTGCACTCTCCTGGAATTGTGCAAGAACCATGCTTGGGGCTACATCCCTGACGACAAATAGCTGTTAAAACAAAAAAAAGAAGAGTATCAGCATGATGCCTGCTTCCTGCATCTTCACACTCGTGGGAATGTTTTAATCTCTAACCAGCACTGTAATCCTACTAAATCCAAGGTTTTAACAAGTCTCTCGTATCAAGTCTACTGGAAGGAAAACCAAGGTAGGTGGCTCCCTGTGATAGGCAATCTATCAGCTAGCTTTGCAGAGGCATCGTGCCTAATGCTGTTCTCCAAGGGTTGTTTCTATGCAAGAGAAACCATCTCGCCTTAGAGAGCCCAAGCCACTTCAAGTCTACAAGTTTCCTTTCTCTGTCTATTGCAGGTGAACTGGCCCACTCTCCCTGGCTTTACATCTAATTCAAAGCAACTTCTAACTACTCGGGATTTACTTCTCAGCCATATCTCTGAACAGACAGGATATTAGGATGAGCGTTGATCCAAACTGCAGATAAACTCAGTCAGCAAGACATGTTGATAGTCTCTTCCTATTCAGAGTCCTGCTTTCTCCTGAAATTACCTAGGAAGTTGCCATTCCCTAATAAACATGTTAAACATCATCTCAGGTAGAACAAACAGCCTGGGACTTTTCAAACACCAAAGCTTTACACTTGCCAGGTCAGCTCTAAAACAAGCCTCTCCTTCCTGCTTGTCTTGAAGTTCTGCACCAAAGGGGAAATCCTTTTTGAAGTCAGCAGCACAAGTCCCATTGAAGTCAATGGGCTGGGTTTTCTTCCCAAGGGCAAAGATGTGGATAATCAGAGAACGAACACATCTGCTAAGTGCCCAGTACTTGTCAGACCTCTCCAAGATTTTAAAACGAGGCAGAAACAAGTCTTCCCCTGCCCCTAGTTCTCTGTGTAAGGCGTTAGTCGCTGTCCCATCAGTTCTTAGCCCCGTTGTCTGCACAAACTGACCACTGAATTGCAACCTGGATACGATGCACTCAAATCCTATCCTAAGCCCGCTGATCATTTGGCGGTCAAGCATTTGTCACAAACCTTTGTTGCATTCTGGTCCCATCCAGCCCTCCAAGCAGGTTTTGTTGCCATTCTGGTCACAGGTATGGTGAGTGAAGAAGTCATCTCTTGGTCGACAAAACTTGTTGCAGCCAAAGCCATAGTAATGTTCTGCACAAGTCACACGGATTTGATACTCAAAATGGGCAACTCCTGCATTATGTTTCAAAGTCTGCCACTGACGGCTTGGGTTGATCATGCCAGAGTGGGATGCCTTCTCAATAACGCGATCGGGATCTAGAAGTCAGAAAAGATGTCAGAGTTAAAACTTTATTTAGGTATCATTACCTCCCACATCACAGCTCTCTAGCTTTGCAGGCAAGATTCTCTGAGGCAGCCAGTTGGTTTCATTAATTTTCTGTTTTAAAGAGTAAGATAAGGCTGCCCTGGAGCTACAAACCATTAACTGAAACACACATGCAGCATTATCAAACTGAACAAAGCTTGAAATCAAAAGGGACTGTTAGGTTACTGCCAATCACTTATCTCTTTTGCACTGTAAGGACATCCAATAAGAATCTTACAGTTTGTGATTAAAGACAATTCAGCTGCTTTTTCTTCTAGCTCCAATAGATTGGTACATAATGTAGTTTTCCCTGCTTCTCCATTAATGGACCTTGTTTTGGTTTTAACTGGAATATTTACGAAAACATCATATTACAATAGCATAATACAAAGCAATGTCTACAAACTGAACATAAGCACCACAAAAGGTTTGCAGCCTTCTGGGACTCCGGTGTGAACACTAAATTGAAAACTAGCAACTCTGGCATTCAGACAACATCAGTAGCCTCACCAGGTTTTGGCTGAGAAATACCGTGGAAGTTCTCTTCAGATGTTAGCTGACACTAAAAATTCAAGACTACCAGAGCTCGAAGCAGAGATTACTGCATATACGTGCTATAGATCTCCTTTCTCTCTATAGAGCATTTCAAAGTTTAGATGTTGCGCTTGACATTCAGTTCTAGCAAAAGTCTTCTGGCTTTTAGAGCCCTACAACTGTCTAAATTACGGCTTGAAATAATAATATTTCACATTAGCTCAGAACATTGTATATATCTGTGGTATTTCACTTTGTAGTCCAGGTCTTGTGACTTAAATGATCTGACACTGCCTTACGACCTGCTGCTAGCAAGCACTTGACTGCCGAGTGAAAGTTTATCATAAAACAGCCAAAATATCCTTGCAGACATAGTACAAACCTGAAAATAAGCACCAGGCTACACTGTTCTGTATATGGGAGCATAATCCAGCGACAGAAGAATTTTAGGTAGAAGGGCAGTTTGCCAATGATGTGTTAGAAAGCTGCGTGTGAAGCACTGGCACATTCAAGTGTTAAGAATTAAAATGTACTTATGTTCAGCTTGTTCTTCCAACAATTACAAAAGAAAGTTTGGGAGTTTTACATAAGGCAGAGTTGAAGACTAATGAAGTTGCTACATAAAGCTTAAGACAACGCATGGGCAGTTTTTAATCTAAAATACTTTTAAATGGATTGCTAAGGACCTTTGATTTGTAGCTTTCACAAAGAACTTCCAAACAGGCTTCCCGAGCCTCAGATAGCCATTATCAATTCACCACTAGATCCTGCCTGCTTCTCTGCAGTTTTGACTAAAGTTAAGCCAAAGCAATTGCTGCACAACCACAGAGGAGTGTCAATACACAGACACTGTAAGCATTTACCTATGTTGGGGGGTATTCTTGGCTTAAGACTACAGCATTCGTTAAGTGTTTACGCTGTGAAATTAAGGGCAACAACTTCTTATTCACCTTCTGGTATTTCTGGTTCTGTAATATTTTCCATTTAAATCAGTTTTTAGTATTCATTGGCACTAAGCCCCCAACCCCACATCTATGTGTAAGACTTTCAAATGCATGCAGGCCTTTATTAATTTAAATCCCATTTACAAGTAATGTGGATGCCTTAGGACTTTTCCATGCTGGTATATCCAGAGCAATATCATGTCCTGTACTGTGCAGGTGTAAGGCTCTTAGATCTCATCAACAAGATTACTGACTAATTCTAAGAGGTACTTAAGCAGATGCATATCTATTCGCCTTGAATGGGGCTAGTCAAGCGATTATAGTTCCACTCATGCGTGCTGGAGATGGCTTTGCTGCACTTGCCAAGATTACACCCCGATCTACAGCACAGTTGGAAAGCAAACGCATTTCCCCAAATGCCGAGCCTGTGCATAAAGACATCCTGTTTCTTGCAAGTAAAACAACTCTATCCTTTTCTCCTGTAAGTGGCAGAAGAAAAGGGGAACAACACTCAATTTAGTTTTGCAAACTGCCCCCCCGCCACACACTCTTGCTTTTCCAGTCTTTTCCTATTCCCAACAGGGAACATACGACGGAGAGCTATTTCAGTCCTTGGCACCAGAAAAAACAGTCGCCTTGGAAAAGAGATCTTTCCTTTTGCCTCTGCTCTATCATTCTTCCCGTATCTGCCAGCTCATTAGGAAGCATGTCCTTGCTATACAGCTATGACATCTCACTCCAGCCACCGGCTCTTTTGAGCCCTTAACCACAGGCTGAACTCAACTGGAAATATCCCTTATTAGTCCACTGGACTTTATTTTTTTTTTTTTTAAGGGCCCAGATGAAAACCAGCTGCGATTTCACTTTGGATCATGGCTAAAATGTCTTTCGTTTGATACACGTTATAAAGCTACCACCATACATTTAAACTCAAGTAAGGTCTCACAGAATTAAGATCCCTTTCCATTAGCCATCACCCACAGTTTTCACAATGAAGTATTGGCATGTTCCTTCTTGTACAAAAATTTCTCCACCCCTCCCTATTCCCACCTGTCAGTACGCACTTACACAAGCCTGCTGACCCAGACTTCAGGGAAGGCATTGCAACAACTCTTCCATTCTTAGCCTGCACCAACCATGTTTTAAGTTTTATAGTAAGCAATCCCAAAGCAGCAGACTGGCTAAGTAAATAAAAAGAAGCAGTCAGCTAGGCTTGAGAGAAAGCGATCTTCCTAACTGCCCTGGCATCATCTGACTCAGAATCCCATGCTTTGATAGAAAGGTTAGAGGAAACATGAACCAATTAGAAATTGATGAGGTGGAAGAGAGAGGCTTTCTGTACATCTTTAGCTTCCACTCTGCACTTCGCTGTCAGAAAGTTTGCTGGTTTCATTCACTTTTTGCGGCTACACTTCAAAGCTATTAATCTGACTTTTTATTCAGTGGGCAGTTGTATCAAAGGTTTTAGGCACAGGGAAATGAGCTATTTTGACTGCCCACCTCAGTGCTCCAATTTCTGGAAATTATAAACTATGCAGCATGAGGAAGCAAACAACAACAACAAAAGCCCAGACTCCTCTAAGCAGTTTGGGTGGCCAAGGGCACCACAGTTATTTTTTGAAAGTCTTTGTTTCAGACAGCTTCCAGCTATGGCTTGGTTTACATTGTGCTGAAGTCTCTTACACCCGACTGGAATTCACATGCAACCGATACCAGTAATTTACAATAGCTCTTTGACATAGTTTGAGATGCAATGTCAGCCCCATTAGCTTTATGTATGAAGCGACAGTAGCAAGATGGCATCTAGACAAGAACCAGAGTAAGAAAACCATTTCAGTTGACTCTTGGCTCCAACAAAGCACGATTCTCATCAACTTCAACAGGGCCAGAATTTAACTGCAAGCCACTCTTGGAAGTGAGACAAGAGAGAGTATGTGGTAAAGGGAACGTAGGAGGAGTGGAATGTAGAGGGGGGAAGGAAGCATCCACTCTAGGATCTCCTAACAGCTGCATTGATCAGAGGATGCTAGAGCTATTGAAAAGTTACACAAAGCCTACCAAATCCACTTTTTTTTTTTTTTTTTTTTTTGAGAGCTCTCACAGAGTCCTTACAATTCAGTGGTAATTAGGGTAAAAGAAAACCCTGGACATCAAAAAAATACTCCTCACTTTATATGATGACAATTGTTTAGTTCTAATGATTTCCTTAACTAGTTCTTCAAGACTTATTCTTCAGCTATGGGAAAGCTGACTGTAAGTAAAGCGATGCGGTACAAAGGAAAAGCTTTGTGCAGTACAGTGACTGAAGTGACCTACAGATGGATATGTGACAGCAAAGCTAGAGCAGG